GGCGGGGATGCTGCCTGGAAGGATCATTTATATGACGGTGCTGGAAGCAGTGAAGGCGAACACGCTTAAAGGGATTAACGGCGTAACGGAGCTGCCTTTAGAGGGGCATTTGGAAGGTGCTAGCAGCAGCAGCAGTAGTAGCAGCAATGGTAGCAGTAAGAGCAGTGGTGCTAGCAGCAGCAGTAGCAGCAGTAGCAATGACAGCAGCACGAGCAGCGATGGCAGCAGCAGCAGTGGGACGGGCGGCACGGGGCGGTGGCTGCATTTGTCTGATACGGCAGCAGCTGGGCTGGCCAGCGCAGTGGGCGGCATGTGCGCGTCTCTGGCCACCCAAGCCGTGGTTGTGCCCGTTGATGTGGTGAGTGAGGGAGTGAGAGAGAGTGAGGGAGGGAGTGGTGCAGGAAGGGAAGGGTTGGAGGGATTGAGTAGTAGTGGGTGAGTGAGTGAGGAAGTGAGAGTGCAAGTGGGAGTGAGTCGGTGAGCGATTGCATGTGCGTGCATGTGTGTATGGCAGCCAAGAGTCACCACGAAAGAATGACACAAGCACGACTCTAGCACGCGCATCCTTTTCCTTCTTCCCTCCCCTCTCGCCCTCTCCTTCCTTCTTCCCTCCCCTCTCGCCCTCTCCTTCCTTCCTCCCTCCCCTCTCGCCCTCTCCTTCCTTCCTCCCTCCCCTCTCGCCCTCTCCTTCCTTCCTCCCTCCCCTCTCGCCCTCTCCTTCCTTCCTCCCTCCCCTCTCGCCCTCTCCTTCCTTCTTCCCTCCCCTCTCGCCCTCTCCTTCCTTCCTCCCTCCCCTCTCGCCCTCTCCTTCCTTCTTCCCTCCCCTCTCGCCCTCTCCTTCCTTCCTCCCTCCCCCCTCGCCCTCTCCTTCCTTCCTCCCTCCCCTCTCGCCCTCTCCTTCCTTCCTCCCTCCCCTCTCGCCCTCTCCTTCCTTCCTCCCTCCCCTCTCGCCCTCTCCTTCCTTCCTCCCTCCCCTCTCGCCCTCTCCTTCCTTCCTCCCTCCCCTCTCGCCCTCTCCTTCCTTCCTCCCTCCCCTCTCGCCCTCTCCTTCCTTCTTCCCTCCCTCTCGCCCTCTCCTTCCTTCCTCCCTCCCCCTCGCCCTCTCCTTCCTTCCTCCCTCCCCTCTCGCCCTCTCCTTCCTTCCTCCCTCCCCTCTCGCCCTCTCCTTCCTTCCTCCCTCCCCTCTCGCCCTCTCCTTCCTTCCTCCCTCCCCTCTCGCCCTCTCCTTCCTTCTCCCTCCCCTCTCGCCCTCTCCTTCCTTCTTCCCTCCCCTCTCGCCCTCTCCTTCCTTCCTCCCTCCGCACCGTTCCCGCGGTTTCGTCCCCTCTTTTGCGTCCTTCACTCTTTCTCCGCCCCGGTTGCCCCCTCTCCGCCCCGGTTGCCCCCTCTCCGCCCATCAGATCAGCTCCCGTCTTGTGGCCCAACAGGGGGACCTACCCTCCAACCACGCCACCAGGCAAGCAGCACCACCACCGTTACGAGCAGCAGCAGCAGCAGCACCACCACCACCACCCCCACCAGCAGCAGCAGCAGCAGCGGCAGGAGCGGTGCGGTACACAGGGGGGCTCCACGCACTAGTGACCATCCTGAAAACAGAGGGCCCAAGGGGGCTGTACCGCGGGTTTGGGCTGTCTGTGATGACGTATGCGCCCTCGGGGTTCATCTGGTGGGGCACGTATGGCGCCGCTCAAAGGTTCTTCTGGAGGTGAGACGTGCGCATTAGATGGGAGGGACACTACCCCCCCCCCCCCCCCGGCACATCCCCACTCCGCCCCCCTTGCCTCCCCTGTCAGCAGAGCACCTGCTAGCCTATTAGCACACATGAACGTTGGAAAAGAGCACTACTCCGTGGATGGCCTATGTGCCCCTGGGGTTCATCTGGTGGCGCACGTATGGCATTGCTTTGTGCTTGTGGTTCGCTCGTCTCGTCTTCTATCTCGCCCCCACATCCGCCCTCTTTCTCTCGCTCTCCCACCCACCCACACCTTCCCACTCGCATCTTACTCATCAACCCCCTTCCATGCACCGCATAGCATCGACTTCCATCGCATTGAACCCGTCGCATCACGCCCATAATCCCCCAACTCCCCTCACGCCCCTGCATGGCAGCACATGCGGCCGTTACGTCCATGCCTCTACAGCAGCAGCAGCAGCAGCAGCAGCAGCAGCAGCAGCAGGCAGTGCCGCAGCTCCTCCCTTGAACCTGGTGGTGGGCGTGCAGGTGGCATTCCGTTAATCCCCTCCTCCCATGCCCCCCCCCCTCCCCCCGTGCCAGCACATACGACCGTTACGTGCATGCAGCGGGCAGCACCACAGCGCCCCCTCTGGGTCTGGTGGTGGGCGTGCAGGTGGCAGGGGGCGTGTGTGCGGGGCTGGCGTCTGCGCTCGCCACCACGCCTCTTGACACGGTCAAGACGCGCATCCAGGTGAGATGATCTCTCTTGTGCTCACACAGTCTCTTGGTGTGAGTGAGGGGTGAAGACAAACCCCCTCCTGGCGGGAGTGCGGGTGGCAGGGGGTATCTGTGCGGGGCTGGCCACTGCGCTCGCCGCCACACCTCTTGATACCGTCAAGACGCGCATCCAGGTGAGTCGGTCTCTCCCTCGTGTCCAGTTAGACTGCTCTTTATGTTTCTCCACTCCGAACCTACCTCCGTACTCCACGTGCCACCTGGCACCACATGCCACCTGGCAGGCAGCAGGAGCAGCACCAGCACCCCACACGCCACCCCACACACCCCTTGGCAGGTGGGGCGCAAGACAGGGTCAGAGGCGTCTGTATCGGCGGTGGTGCGGCAGCTGGTGGCGCAGGATGGCATGAGGGGGCAGTAGCTGACTGTGTTACCCGACACACCACTCCGCAAACCACCCCCCACGCTTCTCCGTTAATGGCAGGTGGGGCGCAAGACAGGGTCAGAAGCGTCTGTATCGGCGGTGGTGCGGCAGCTAGTGGCACAGGACGGCATGAGGGGGCTGTACCGGGGGTTTGCCCCTCGCTGTGCCAGCACCATGCTGTGGGGCACCGCCATGGTGTCCACCTATGAGTACCTCAGTACGCACCCTCAACTCTCCTCACTTTGCTGTTTGCACGACTGTGTTGTTTCCATCCCCCATGGCCCTTTCTCTCCCATGCGTGCTGAGGAGAGGATACTATCTTGTGTTGTTTCATGCCCCCCCGGGTCTCTCCCATTCCAACCTCGCATGTTTGTGCAGAGTGCTTCACCTCGCACGTCCTTCCCCTCCCGCACTCTTTCTTCCACCCACGTCGTCCCACTCTTATGTGCCGCCCGTCCACAGAGCGCCTGTGTGCCAAGGATATCTCGACAGGCTCGTATGTTTCTCGAGAGCAAGGGGAGCACACGTGATCCCGAGGCATCCGAGAGCCAAGGAGGCGAGGAGAGCAAGGAGCCAAGGAGCCAAGGAGGCGAGGAGAGCAAGGAGCCAAGGAGCCAAGGAGGCGAGGAGGAGAGGGGGTTTTGAGAGCAAATGGCAACGCCTGCATGGAGACTGGCCGCTTCCATGTCGTGCTCCGTGCCTCCTTCACTCCTGTGCGGTGCCGTGCGGTGGCGTGCAGTGCGGTTGATGCGTAACTTTATTAGAACTGTAGGTATTATTATATATTCAGAATAGCAGCTGGTTTTCTTAGATATGCAAAAAAGGCTGGATTTGCGCTGCCAATAAATGCTGAACTCCGTGGATGATTATATCTTATTGACCTCAAGCATTCAAGAAGAAACACAAGTGAACACTGAACACTGATCACATCAAGGTGTCGTGGCACTGGAATAGCTCTGTCGAACCTCATCTCTCTCTAGGGAGGGTACTAGGGAGGCTTTCCCTGGGGAAGGTGGATATATGGAGCTTAACTCTCCTGAGGACATCCCTTCTTGTCCCAATGGTTAGGACAGGTGACTTCATGACACAAGGGGCACAGGTGTCATAGTGGAACCATATACACCGCCGAACCGATCCACCATTGATTCCTAGTGGCCAGCCCTTTTGCCATGGTGCTGCCTGCCTTGCACCGGCTTCTCGGCTCCTCCCTCCACCTCGCCCTCCTTCCCTTGTGATGAATCATCACTCCGCACACCATGGCCCGGGTACTCATACACCCCCCTCCCTGTCTTGCGGCCCAGCCACCCTGCGTCCACATACTGCACGAGCAGCGGGCACGGGCGGTACTTGGCGTCCCCCAGACCAGCATGCAGCACTCGCATGATGGCCACACAGGTGTCGAGGCCGATGAAGTCCGCCAAGTGGAGAGGACCCATGGGCTGCAATGGGGGCAGGGGGAAGGAAAGGAGGAGCAGTGGAGGGCAAAGAGGAGGCTCAGAGACGAGCAGCGGGCGATTTTTTTGAATTCTAAAAAATCACCGACAACACGAGCAGCGGGTGGTGCTCGCAGCGCTCGCACTATGGACACACACGTCCTGAGGCCTATGATGCCAGCGACTTGAAGAGGACCCATGGGCTGGGAGGATGGGGGCAGGAGGGGTAAAGGCAATGATGAGAGAGGGCTACCAGCCGCGGGCATGGGCTACCAGCAGCCGGCATGGGCTACCAGCAGCGGGCATGGGCTACCAGCCGCGGGCATGGGCTACCAGCCGCGGGCATGGGCGGTACTTGGCCAGTGCTCACGCTAGCATGCGGCACTCATGGGCACACACGTGTAGAGATGTATGGCAGGTGGAATGGGCCCATGGGCTGTGTGAGGAGGCGAGGAACGAACGGGGAATCATCATATGGTGCACCTGTGCGGGCACAGATGGTAAGCGGCAGGGCGGATGTGCGCACAATGGGCACAGGTGGAACTTCACATCTTGTAGACCAACATGCAGTGGTGTACACTGGTGCACTGGGGCACTGGGGCACTGGGGCACTGGGGCACTGATGGTCGTCCAGTGGTCCAGCGGTGGTCGAGTGGTCCAGTGGTGGTCCAGGGGTGGTCCAGTGGTGGTCCAGTGGTGGTCCAGTGGTGCGCTGGTGCAGACTGGGTGCACTGGTGCACTCCCGCTCCTGCTCGCTCTCTCGCTCCTGCGCTGTTGCTCCCACTTCCGCTCCGGCTCCCGACCCACCTGGTTGGTCCCCAGCGTCATGCCTCTGTCAATGTCTTCCGCTGTGCTCACCCCCTCCAGCAGCACATAGAAGACCTCGTTGACCATGGGCATGAGCAGCCGGTTCACCCGTGCTCCGATTCTCACCTGCTCACTTCCACCCCCTCCGTTCCTCACCTGGTTGGTCCCCAGCCTCATCCCTCTGTCGATGTCCTCTGCCGTGCCCACCCCCTCCAGCAGCAGACAGAACGCCTCGTTGACCACGGGCATGAGCAGTGGGGAGAACCACGGGTATTTTCTTTTCCTTCCTCCCTCACGTGCCGCGTACTGGTAGCGTCTCAAGGCTCACCTGGTTGGTCCCCAGTCTCATGCCTCTGTCGATGTCCTCTGCCGTGCCCACCCCCTCCAGCAGAGTGTAGAAAGCCTCGTTGATCATGGGCATGAGCAGCCGATTCACTATGAACCCAGGGTAGTCCCGCGCCTCACACACCTGCTTGCCGAACCTGAAGGGCAGGTTCGGGGGGAAGGTGCGGGAATTGGGGGGAAAGTGGGGGGATTGGGGGGAAAAGGGGGGGGGGTTGGGGGGAGATGGAAGAAGGTGGAGGCAGGTGTGCACCCCAGGTGATAGTTGTGTGAGAAGAGAAGTTGATGATGTTATTGAAGAAATGAGGGTATACATAGGTGTGAGGGTAAGAAGGGGGGGGGGGGGGTTGGTTGGGACCTTGGCCAAGATTATTGGTCCCCACCAATAATGGAGTTGGGAATTATTGGGGGGTACAATGATCCCAACCAAGATTATTGGAGGGTCCAATAATCTTGGGAGGATTATTGGGGTCTCCAATAATTGGGAGGTCAAGCCCATTGGGGGGGCCAATAATGGCCAAGGTTGGAACCCAAACAAGGTGGGAAGCCAACCCCCAACCTAGGGTTACTACACCCTAGTAGAGATATGTTGCTTACAATGACCTAAGCCTTATAAACGATGTAGGCTAATATAGAATAGGGGAATATTCTAACACAACCCCTTAGCCTACATAGGGCTAGAAGGCGGAGGCGCTTGAAAGAGCAACCCCTGAATTAGGTGCTCCCGCGAGAGGAGGGAGGAGCGAGGCCAGTTAGCCGGAGAAGAGTAGCATGAGCGGGCCGAGAGAGAGCTTTGGTGAAAATATCTGCAAGGTTGGCGGAGGAGTCAATCTTGCGGACGGCCAGGTGCCCGGCCTGGACAAGCTCGCGGACGAAGTAGTGGCGCAACTCGATGTGCTTGGAGCGGCCGTGGAAGACGGCTTCCTTGGTAAGGTGAATGGTGCTGGCATTGTCGCACCAAATGATGGGACAGGGCTGGGGGGCATCCAGCTCAGCGAGGAGGTAGCTAAGCCACCGTGCCTCCTGGGCCGCCATGGTGACGGCGTAAAGTTCGGCTTCGCAGGAGGAGAGAGCTATGGAGGAGGAGCGGGTGGAGCGCCATGAGATGAGACCGCTGCCAAGGGAGAAGCCATACCCTTGAGAACTGCGGCGGTCGGGTTGGGAGTCGGCCCAGGACGAGTCACTGTAGCCAATGAGCGCAGGAGGGGAGGGTCCTCCAAGGGTGAGGACATAGTCCTTGGTGCCTTGTAGGTAGCGTAGAACACGCTTGGCCGCCTGCCAATGCTCGAGAGTGTGCTTGCCAGCACCGACAAAGCGTGCCAGGACGCTGATGGGGTAGGCGAGGTCAGGACGTGTGCACATCATTGCGTACATCAAGGACCCAACGAGCTCTGCGTATGGTTGAGTGGAGGAGGAGGGGGTGGCGGCGGGGGAGAGCTGGTGTCCGACGGGAAGCGGCGTGGAGATGGGTTTGGCTGTGGCCATCTCGAACCGCTCAAGGACCTTTTGGACGTAGAAGGCTTGAGAGAGAGAGATGGTTTTCGCCGCGCGGTCACGGGTGATCTCCATGCCGAGGTAGTTGCGGACTTCTCCCAGGTCCTTGCAGGCAAGGCGCCTCTGAAGCTCGTTCTTGACTTGCTGCATTTCAGCGTCATTGTCGGCGGCGAGTAACATATCGTCGACATAGACGAGAATGTAGAAGGGGGAGGGAGAGGTGCGGAGGAAGAGGCTGGTGGCAGCCGCGGAGGGGCGAAAACCAAGGTCTCGAAGGGTGCTGGAGAGCTTGGCGTGCCACTCCCGAGGAGCCTGCTTGAGGCCGTACACAGGGCGGCGGAGCTCCCAGACAGTATTAGGGTCAAAGGGGAGATGCCAGCCCTTGGGGCGCTCCATGAAGATGCGTTCATGAAGCTCGCCCTGCAGGAATGCCGTAGTGACATCCATGGAGTGAAGGATCATGCCACGTCGACCGACAAAGTCGAGGAAGACGCGCACAACTGGCGGTGTCGCGGTCGGTGAGTATGTCTCGAAGAAGTCGTGACCATACCGCTGCGTAAAACCTTTAGCGCAGTAACGAGCTTTGTAGATTGGGTCATCGCCGGGAAGGAGCTTCACACGAAAGACCCACTTGCCCTTGACCACGTTGGTGTTGGGGGGGCGAGGGACGTCGACAAAGGTGCCATTGCGTACGAAGGCTTCGTTCTCCTTGAGGACGGCCTTTCCCCAATGAGGACTGTCAGGGCAGGTCATGGCTTCATCATAGTCTCCGGGCTCGAAGATGATGGGCGCGCCTTCGAAGACCAAGACTGGCGCCCCGGCGACGTTGAAGGCGACGGCGCAGGAGGAGGAAAAAAGGTGGAGGCGAAGGAACTCGCCATGGGAGTCCTCAATAAGGAGAGGAGAGAGAGGCGGAGGTAGGGGTGGTGGCGAGATGGCAACTCGGCCACACGGCTGCACGTTGCTGTTGCAATGCTGGACTGGTGCGCTGCTGCATGGCGGGATCGTCGCGTTGTTGCATGACGGAGTTGGAGGGCTGTTGTACAGGTGGACTGCTGCGCTGCTGCACGGCGGGGGTGGTGCTGCAGAAGGAGGGGCGGAGGGGGTGCTGTCAGAGGGTATCTGGATGGAGGGAGGGGGAGGGGACTGAGGTCGGGAGGTGGGGGCAGGGATGGGAGGACCAAAAATGGGATCCATGGACCGTGTATGCGGGCGATGCCGAAGAACAAGAGGAGGTTGATCCTGGGCAGGAGCGGGGGCAGGAGGGGGGGCAGGAGCGGGGCCAGGGGCAGGAGGGGCAGGATAGGTGGCGGCTGAGGCGGGATCAGAGGCGGAGGTGGAAGCGGGAGTAGGGGCAAGAGGAGGGGCGGAAGCGGAGGAGGGGGAGGGAGAGGGGGGGATTACCAAATCAGAGGCGTCGTCAGATTGACCAGAGGACGGGGGAAGTGGGGGAGGGGGAGGTGGGGGGACAAGGGGGGGAGGGGGGAGAAGAGGCAGGGAGATCGTGTCGGACACAGTGAGAGGGCGAGGGGTGACAGTAAGAGGGTCACTTGTGGGGGGGGAAGAGTAGTACGGGGTGGATTCGTCGAAGACGACGTCCCGACTACGTATGAGACGACCTGAGGGGGGATGGAGAAAAAGGTAATCAGGGGAAGAAGGGTTGTGCCCAAGGAAGATGCAGGGAAGGGCCTTGGAGGCAAGCTTCCCTGCTGTGCGAGAGCGGTCGGCGGGGTGTATGAGGACATGAGCCTTTGAGCCCCAGACGCGAAGGGGAGAAATATCGGGCTTGGAGGACGTCCAAAGCTCGGTAGGGGTAGTGGAAGGACGGAGGGGGTGGGGGTAGAGGTTAGTTAGGAGGGTCGCGTGGAGGAGGGCATAGCCCCAAAGAGAGGGCGGGCACGAGGCATGGACTAGGAGACACCGAGCAGTTTTAGTGATCTCTCGAATCCGAGCCTCGGCCAAACCATTCTGCTCTGGGGAGTGCGGAAGGGTATGGGTATGGCGAATGCCATGGGAAATGCAGTATGAGGAAAACTGCTGGTTTAGGAATTCGCCGCCTCCATCGGAGTGGAAGCGACGAACGGGGCGTTTAAAGTGTGTACGGGCTTGCTCTGCCCAAGCGATGATCGCAGCCGGAGCCTCGGCCTTCGTTCGAAGGAGAGAGACCGAGGTATACCGGGAGTGATCGTCGACGAGGACAAGAAGGTAGCGGTGACCCTGGCGGGTAGGGGAGGGGTTGGGTCCCCAGAGATCCATATGGACAATGTCCAGGAGCTCAGGGGCATATGAGGGGTGGCTTTTATGAGGGAGTTGTTTCAGCTTAGCCTGAACACAAATGGTGCAGGGAGGGGCAGGAGAGGGAGGGAGAGGGGGAACGGTGAGTGGAAGGCCTTTGAGAAGGCCAGTGGCAACAGTGCGTTGGAGGGTGGCAAAATTGGGATGCCCAAGGCGGTGGTGGAGGAGTAGGGCGGGATGGGAGAGATCCCGGCAGTGGCATTGGGATGGGGGGGGTGCTGGAGGAGAGGAGGGACTGGTGGGTGGGGGTTGAAGAGGAAAAAGTGTAGGGGGACCGGAGGGGGTAAGAGAGGCAGCCTGACACAAGGCGGGACGAGGAGTGCGAAGGGTGTACATACGAGAGGTAGGACATAAGGGGACACGGGTGATAAATCGACCGGAGGTGGAGTGATACAAGTCACAGTGGGAAGCGTGGCCGGGGTAGATCGTAGTCACCTCGGCACGTTGGAGGGCACCTTGGGAGACAAGGTTAGTACGAAGTGAGGGGATGTGAAAACCTGTGACGGAGCCAGAGGGAAAAAGGGGACAGGGGAGGGTGGAGGTGTGAGTGGTGGTGATGGAGAAACTGGAATCTGCCCCAAGGATGGTGGAGGGGGAGGTGAGGGGAGCAAGATGACCGGCGTCACGGAGGACCGTGGCGCTTGCTCCACTGTCAATTACGAACTCAAGGGGAGGGGAGGAGTGGGTCCGGGAATACTGGAAAGAAGCTTCATTAATAGATTCGGGATACAGAATAGTGGGATCGGGGTGAGTAACATGACCTAAGAAACCAGCAGAGGGGAAGGGAGTGAAACCGGGAGGACCAGAGGGAGTCTGGGCAGTTGTGGCCGGTATAGCAGTCGAAGCGGAGGATTGCTGAGATGGGGGAGGAGGAGTCGGCTGCTGCTGCTGCTGTTGCGGCTGTTGCTGCTGCTGCTGCTGGTACTGCTGCTGGTACTGCTGTTGGTACTGCTGCTGGTACTGCTGCTGAGACGGCTGGTGCTGCTGGGGGTACTGCTGCTGCTGCTGGGTGTACTGCTGCTGCTGCTGCGGAGGGAGAAGGGATTGAACCTGCTGGAGGACTTGGAGGGACAGGTGCTGTGCCAGGATCTGGCGAAGGGAGGGCGGCTGGTAGGCGGGAGAAGTGCGAACATCAAGAGCAGTGGGGGGCGGAGTCATGGACGACCAGCGAGGTGGGATACCAGTGTTCCCGCGGTCAAACCATTCATCCGTAAGTGCCTTGAAGCAGGTGGTTGTGGGATGAGTAGTTTGGAGGCAGCGCTGACCTTTGTTGGTGCCGTAACGAATGAGATACTGACATGGAGGGTAGTTACCGGTGCCTCGGCCGCTGCCACCGCCGCGTCCACCACTGCGTCCGCCCCCGCGACCTCCTCCAGAGCGCCCCGCCGTGCTGCCACCACGTCCGCCAGCACGTCCACCACGTGCCTGTGCGGCATTCACGGTTGGGGGAGACTGGCGGAGGAGTTCTGCCTCAGTCTTTAGGATCCACGTGACGACCTCGGTGGAGTCAGGCGTGTAGCGGGCATGGACTTCATCGAAGGCCACCTTGCGCGTGTCAAACATCGGCGAGAGGCCGTCGAGGAGGCGGCACACAAGGAGGGAATCGGGAAGAGCTGAGGCGCCGGGTGAAAGCAAGCGCGTTGGGGCAGCTATCGAGTGTGATCTCGAGGAATGCACGATGGAGTGCGAGGAGGGAGTTTGTGTCCTGCAGGTCATAGGTGGCACAAAGCTCCTTCCAGAAAGAGGCAGAGGAGGAGGGATTGATCTCGCGTTTAAGGGAGGAAGGGACGCAAGCAATGAGGATGGAGAGGCATTTGCGGTCAGCTTGAACCCAAGCAGCATAGCGAGTGCGAAACTCACGAGAGTCTGCGGCATGCTGAGCAACGTCTTCGTCATACTTGGAGATGTGCTTTGGCCTCGTCGTGGGCGTTCTGCTTCTCGGAGTAGGTGTGTTGGAGAAGAGTGTAGTCGGCGAAGTCTTTGTCGTACTTAGTGCGGAGGCGAGCCCAGCGGTCAGGATCAGTGTTGTACTCGGGGTGAGTGGGCTTGATGGGCTCAGGTCCTGAGGGGGGATCAGGGGGGGGGGAAGGGCGGGGGCCAAGCTTGGCAGGGGGGGAGGGGGGCTTTCCTGCCTCAGTGTCCTCGAGGATGTCGAGGAGGCAGAAGTCGTTGATGATGGTGGAGCCGAGAACTGTGGTGATGCTTTGCGCGAACGAGTTCCAATTGATAGGAACCACGCCATCGGCGAGTTCAAGTGCATCGATGGTGCTGATGTCAACCGCGAGCGAGTCCGTTGCCATGGCGGGTGGGAATCACCTACGTGCAGCCAGCTACCAGCGACCAGGGACCGGCTTCCAGCGACGGGAGGGGAGGGGGAGGAGGAGAGAGGAAGGAGAAAAGGACGGGTGCGCGGAGCGCAGCTCTTAAGTCGCCGTAGGCCTTGGAATCCTTCCACGAAAGGGTCGTCGAGCGGCACGGATGGCGAGATTGCGTCGCGTGGTAGTGCGTGCTGCGCGCGACGAGCGGTGACGACGGGAGGGTCGCGAAATGCGGCGACGAGCAACCGCGAAATGGAGTGACGGAAAGGCCGATAAATGCGGCGACAAGAGGGCCGCGAAGTGCGGCGACGGGAGGGCCGCGAAGTGCCGCGACGAGCGGTCGCGACAAGCGGCGACGAGAGAGCCACGAAATGCGGCGACGGGAGAGCCGCGAAATGCGGCGACGGGAGAGCCGCGAAATGCAGCGACGAACGGTCGCGACGAGCGACAACGGGGGAGCAGCGAAATGCGGCGACAAACGGTCGCAACGGGCGGCGACGGGAGAGCCGCGAAGTGCGGAGATGAACGGTCGCGACGAGCGACGACGGGAGAGCCGCGAAATGCGGCAGCGGCGTGGAAATGCGCGCGGAGAGGGCACGGGGTGCGCTAGGGGGGGGCAGCGCGGAATGCGCGGGAGCAAGGCGCAGAGTGCGCGGAGGGAGGGCGTGGGAAGGAACACGCTTTCAGGATCGTTCTACGAGGTGGCGTGAGCCATAGGCTCTGATACCATGTGAGAAGAGAAGTTGATGATGTTATTGAAGAAATGAGGGTATACATAGGTGTGAGGGTAAGAAGGGGGGGGGGGGGGGGTTGGTTGGGACCTTGGCCAAGATTATTGGTCCCCACCAATAATGGAGTTGGGAATTATAGGGGGGTCCAATGATCCCAACCAAGATTATTGGAGGGTCCAATAATCTTGGGAGGATTATTGGGGTCTCCAATAATTGGGAGGTCAAGCCCATTGGGGGGGCCAATAATGGCCAAGGTTGGAACCCAAACAAGGTGGGAAGCCAATCCCCAACCTAGGGTTACTACACCCTAGTAGAGATAGGTTGCTTACAATGACCTAAGCCTTATAAACGATGTAGGCTAATATAGAATAGGGGAATATTCTAACAAGTTGAACGCCCCATTGATCATGGACATGAGCAGACGGTTCATGGCACCGTGCCTCACTCACCTGCCTGTCAAACCGAACCTGGAGGGGAGGCTCGGGGAAGGGGGGCAGTAACACATAACGGATAGCATAGGCCACCGGTGGATGGTGGACGGTGGACAGAGGACGCTGGACGCTCGACGGTGGACGGTGGATGGCGTTTAGCGGTGGACAGTGGACGGTGGAAGGTGGACGGCGTCCACCGGTGGATGGTGGACGGAGGACGGTGGGCGGTGGACGGCGTCTACGGGTCGACGGTGGATGGTGGATGGCGTCCACCGGTGGACGGTGGAAGGTAGACAGCGTCCACCGGTGGATGGTGCACGGTGGACAGTGGACGCTGGACGCTGTGCGGTGGACGGTGGAAGGTGGATGGCGTCCACCGGTGGACGGTGGACGGTGGACGGTGGACAGTGGACGGTTGACGGTGGACGGTGGACGACGTCCACCGATGGACGGAGGACGGTGGACAGTGAACAGTGGACGGTGGACGGTGGACGGTGCACGTCGTCCACCGGTGGACTGTGGACGGTGGTCGGCGTCCACTGTTGTGCTGTGCACTACCGTGGTGCTGTGCGCTACCGTGGTGCTGTGCGCTACCGTGGTGCTGTGCGCTACCGTGGTGCTGTGCGCTACCGTGGTGCTGTGCGCTACCGTGGTGCTGTGCGCTACCATGGTGCTGTGCGCTACCGGGGTGCTGTGCGCTACCGTGGTGCTGTGCGCTACCGTGGTGCTGTACGCTACCGTGGTGCTGTGCGCTACCGTGGTGCTGTGCGCTAAAGGGGAAGGGCTGGATGAGATGGGCCTTGGATTGGGCTGTAGTAGGTCTAAGTTACTGCGAAGACTGGGACACTGGGTTACTTGGTTACTGGGTTACTCTACTTGCTGTGATGGATGCAGGTGCTTCCAACCATACCGCCCCCTGTGCGATTCTATTCCGTACACAGCCACCTGAATCAATGCTGCGTGGCAGTGACTCACCTGTGCGCGAGGCCTTTAGTGAGGTGCAGGGTGTGCTCGGATGTGGCGAGTCCCCTGACCACCTCCACCAGCGACATGATGACTGGCGGGTTCATGAAGTGCATGCCGATCACCTGCGGGGTGGGGGGTAGGGGGGGAGAAGAATGAATGAGGGGGAGGGGAGATGTATGAAGGAATGAGGGGGGGTGGGGAAGATGTATGAATGAGGGGGGGTGGGGAAGATGTATGAATGAGGGGGGGTGGGGAAGATGTATGAATGAGGGGGGGTGGGGAAGACGTATGAATGAGGGGGCGGAGATGTATGAATGAGGGGGTCATGAGCCATGAGCCCCTTCACCGCCTGCACTAGCGACATGATGACCGGCGGGATCATGACATGCATGGCGATCACCTGCAGGGGAATAAGGGGGCGAACGAGAGCACATAAGAGTATGAAGGGGCCACGAGGCACGCGCCTTTGTACCACTTCCACTCACCACGAAAGGCTTTAAGGGTTCACATGGAACGATATGAATGCCGATGAGCTCTCATGGCAAACACTTTGCACCTCACCACTTCTCTGCCTCACTCTCTGCCACGGCCGACCCTCCGTGCCGCCTACCTTATCCGGTCTGCTCGTGGCAGCAGCGAGTCTGGTGATGGAGATGGTGGGCATGGGGACCGCCACTTAGTGCGCTCACCGTATCCGGTCGGCTCGTGGCAGCAGCAAGCCGATGGAGATAGAGCTCGTGTTGCTCTCCAGCACTGCATGGTGCGGCGCAATGCAAAACAATGGGAATCGGGACCGCGACTTGGTGTGCTCACCTTATCTGGTCGGCTCGTGGCAGCAGCCAGCCGAGTGATGGAGATGGACGATGTGTTGCTGGCCAGCACTGCATGGTGCGGCGCAATGCCGTCCAGCCGGGCAATCACGTTGCGCTTCACTGACTCACTCTCCGCCACCGCCTCCACGACCACATCAGCGTGCTCCATGGGGGTGAGCTCCACGCTCGAGTGGATGCGAGACAGTGTCAGGGCTGCTGCTGCCTGGAAAAGGGGGTGCGGGGTAGAGTTGGAGACCACTCAGGGTGAGGGGCAGGGTGAGGGGCAGGGTGAGGGGCAGGGGTGCGGGGTAGAGTGGGAGACCACTCAGGGTGAGGGGCAGGGTGAGGGGCAGGGGTGCGGGGCAGAGTGGGAGACCACTCAGGGTGTGGGGTAGGGTGTGGGGTAGGGTGTGTGGTTTGTAAGCTCTCTGCGACCACATCAGCGTGCTCCATGGGGTTGAGCTCCACGCTGGAGTGGATGCGAGAGATGGCCAGGGCTGCTGCTGCGTGCCAGGGAAGCAGCGGGTTGGACGGGATATGGGAAGCAAGGAGAGTTACTTCTCTCCGCCACCGCCTCAGCAATCACGTCAGCATGCTCTATGGGGGTGAGCGCCACGCTGGAGTGGATGCGAGACACGACCAACGACGCGGCAGCCTGGAAGTGGGGCATGGGGAAGTGGGCCGGAGATAGAGAAAGGGCGCAGTCCCCTCACTCTCCGCCACCACCTCCACGAGAGAAAGGGCGTCCGCATGCTCCATGCTCGAGTGGATGCGAAACACTGCCTGCCAGGGCGGCTGCCGCCTGGAAGATGGGATATGGGAAGGGGTGATGGCAGTCTCGGGATATGGGAAGGGGTGACCCTCTTCCATCCTCCCCTTCCTCACCAGCCGCCCTAGCGACCCCGGATGCCCTCTACCTCCCCTTCTCCTCCTTCCACCCTCGGCACTGCAAGGAGGGTTTCATACGCCGTTCGACCTCCATGCGCGCTTTTCTTGCAACGAAGCAGACTTTCTTCCAGCGGCTTCGCAACAGAGGTTACCCCCCTGCTTTCCTTCAACCGATCGTCAAGGGCGTCCTTTTCGCGCAACGCGCAACACTGCTCGCCAACACTCTCGCAAACCAGCAACTTCGACGACATTCTCTCCCCTCATCACGAGGACTCCTACACACGTAGTTCTGAAGACGACCTACACACCTGTGTCGGCCCATCTCAAACTAGGGGTCGTTTTGGGTGACGCCGGCGAAGAAGATACCAGCAAACTCGGATGCCCATGCCTCAAACATTCATGCAGTGAACCCTCCTCAGACCTCCCCCCATAACCCCTTGCCCCCCTCATCCCAGCAGTCACCTCCCCCCATAACCCCTTGCCCCACTGATCCCAGCAGTCACCTCCCCCCATAACCCCTTGCCCCCCTCATCCCAGCAGTCACCTCCCCCCGTAACCCCTTGCCACCCTCATCCCAGCAGTCACCTCCCCCCGTAACCCCTTGCCCCCCTCATCCCAGCAGTCACCTTCCCCCGTAACCCCTTGCCCCTCTCATCCCAGCAGTCACCTCCCCCCATAACCCCTTGCCCCCCTCATCCCAGCAGTCACCTCCCCCCATAACCCCTTGCCCCCCTCATCCCAGCAGTCACCTCCCCCCATAACCCCTTGCCCCCCTCATCCCAGCAGTCACCTCCCCCCGTAACCCCTTGCCCCTCTCATCCCAGCAGTCACCTCCCCCCGTAACCCCTTGCTCCCCTCATCCCAGCAGGCACCTCCCCCCGTAACCCCTTGCCCCCTACCGCCGTGCCTGGCAGTACCTCGTCCATGCGCCCCTTCATCACCAGCCGCCCCAGGGACTCCTTAATGCCGCCCATGCCTCGATCCAGCGCCGCCAGACTCACGTCCGCCAGTACCACGCGCATTCCCGCCATGGCTGCCGTGTGGGGGGAGGTGGGGGTCGAGGGAGGGAAGGAGAGGAGAGCAGGAAAGGGGGTTGACTGAAACGCCAGGCTCACATCCGCCAGCACCACACGCATTCTCACCATGACGGCGGTATGGCGCAGTTTTGAGGCGCCTCTAAACTTGACGGCGGTATGGCGGGGGGGGGAAATAGCTTTTGAGTCGACTCAAGTGCAGGGGGGAAATAGGCCGGGGGAGAGGAGAGCATGACGCGGGAGTGACTGGGGATGATGCCGGAAGATGGCATCCGACCATAAGAACACACGCATTCCTTCACCCCTTTCCCCCCCCCCACCCTCCCCCCCCCCACCTCCCAGCTGCGCGATTCCGCTGCCCATCTGCCCCGCGCCCAACCCCCCTGCACTGCACTCCACCCGCACCTTGTCTCACCCTTCCCCCAACCCCTCCCCCCTCCCCCACCCCGACCCCCCTCTCCCGCCCTTCCCCCCCCTCACCTCCCAGCTGCGCGATGCCGCTGCCCATCTGCCCCGCGCCCACCACCCCCAGCACCTGCAGCCCCTCCGCCGCCTTCCGCCCCGCCAGTTCCCCCGGTGACACGTCAGATCCTGCCACGTCACCAGCTGAGCCGCCGGCATCGCCAGAGGAGTAGCTGCGCGAGGGGCTCCCGCCGCTTGCGCCGCTGACGCTACTAGCAGGTGTGCTTACGACGGGATTGCTTAGCGCGGGTGTGCCTAGAGCGAGGGGCCCGTGGGTTGTCCATAAACCGTGTCTCGATATAAGCACGCGGGCGAGAGAGCAGGAGCGGTGGGCGCGAAGAGAGAGGCGGGAGGCGGCCATGGAAGGACTCCTTTCAAGGAGGGGAGCGGAATGGCGACAACGGCGACAATGCCTCACTTCCAGTACTGTGCGGCAAACAGTGTCGTTGCCGGCGGGTGTTGACGATGACTGAGCGCGAGCGACGGATGTTGGGCGTGCTATGGCAGGCGGACAGTACTGTAGAGCACCTCGATATTATCAGATTCGGCTCTAGGGTCGTACAGTACTAGGCGTAGAGACGATCAGGCTGGAATTGTGAGCTGGTGGTGGGGCGTTGCTGGTGGCGCAAATTGTGAAGGGCGCGGATTAGGGCAGGTGTGGGGGGAGGTTGGTTTGGGGTGGGGAATGCGAGTGAGGTGGCAGTGTACTTCGTGATGATAGGAACTCGTCAGCAGAAGGGGCGGATGGCGTGGCAGGTTGAAAGCAGAGTTTAACTCGCTATAATGCGATTACTAAAACGAGTCACGCAATTGGCAAATATGCTCACATACAAATTCGCTTCTTTCTCCCATCAACCCACATGCTTGGCATTTAGAACACTTGATTTATTTCATGCACTTGTAATGACATCCCAGACCCTTATTCGCTTTAGACAAGGCATACACGTATCCTCCCATCAAGCTGATAGGATAGAATACGTGAGCTATAACCAAGTCCCCAAGCAGCCAAGCTCCCCTATTGCACAAGATGACCACCTAATACGTCCAAGAGAAAACCATGACCATACGAGAACAAGGCTGAGAGAAGGCCCTGCCCTCAGCAGTGCACTCCCCTTTCTCACTTGGCCTCAGACCAAGGGTAGATGGTCTTGGTATAGTACTTCTTGAACGCCCTTTCCTGCCTAATCTGCGGCAGGGTCATCTTGGCCAGCCATGGGGCATGCTTGGAGGAGCGCAGGCGCAGGCACGGCGGCTCCGAGAGGTCCGGGGGCATCTGGCAGGACCGGGAGAAGTCAAACTCGCGGTACTGCGACTGGATGGGGCCGTTGCTGTAGTTGGCCTTGAGCCAGCTCCACGATGAGGAGTCCCATATCGAGGCCTGCAGAACCGGGTACAGATATTGGGGAAGGCGATGAGCTCTCGAGAAGGGGAGACAGTGCGTGATAACACACGTGTTGTGTGTGAGGGTAGGCAAAGGCCAACTGATTGAAGCGACCACTGAACTTGGGGAGGATCTAAGAAACATGGCAGGGAGTAGCTCAGGTGGAAACCAAAGGTCCAGGAGAAGATGGACATTTTAAACTCGAGAGGTGCCCACCTTGAACTCCATGGGCAGCGTGGGGAACGGATGGCTGGTGTCGTTCGTGGTGATGCGAATCGGGTAGTCGTCGATCATCCACATGATGTACAGCGGGGAGTACACTATCGAGTATGTGTGGAAGTCCGCCGACGGGTCGAAGGGGAAGCGGAATTGCTCCAGCTTGACCTGGCCGCCCGTTATAAGGTTGGTGTGGATGGTGATGCTGCCGGGCGTCTCCCCCCCGATGAACTCGAAGTCGATCTCATCGTGGATGTCAGTGTACCCCTGCGGGCCCGGCGAGATGAGGTAGAAGCACGGGATGATGCCGCCCGAGTAGTTGCTCGGCAGCTTCATGCGCAGGGTGTACACGCCGTACTTGAAGTAGTCTTTCGAGTGGAAGACTGCGAGGGAGAGGTGGGAGGGGTGAGGGGGTGGTTACAAGGGAGGGAGATCGGAGTGAGCCGGAGTAAAGCACGCAGCGGAACAGCCAAGGGGAGCTATATGTGCAGGCTATCCACGCTGTACTTACAGTCCTTGGAATAGATGACTGCAAGGGGACGGCAGCAGAGTTGGATTGGACAGGGGACTTGAGCGCTCAACCCTAACCCCCAATGACTCACCAGACTCACCAGACCCTTCAGACCCTTCAGACCCTTCAGACCCTTCAGACCCTTCAGACCCTTCAGACCCTTCAGACCCTTCAGACCCTTCAGACCCTTCAGACCCTTCAGACCCTTCAGACCCTTCAGACCCTTCAGACCCTTCAGACCCTTCAGACCCTTCAGACCCTTCAGACCCTTCAGACCCTTCAGACCCTTCAGACCCTTCAGACCCTTCAGACCCTTCAGACCCTTCAGACCCTTCAGACCCTTCAGACCCCTTCAGACCCTTCAGACCCTTCAGACCCTTCAGACCCTTCAGACCCTTCAGACCCTTCAGACCCTTCAGACCCTTCAGACCCTTCAGACCCTTCAGACCCTTCAGACCCTTCAGACCCTTCAGACCCTTCAGACCCTTCAGACCCTTCAGACCCTTCAGACCCTTCAGACCCTTCAGACCCTTCAGACCCTTCAGACCCTTCAGACCCTTCAGACCCTTCAGACCCTTCAGACCCTCACCCGACCCTTCAGACCCTTCAGACCCTTCAGACCCTTCAGACCCTTCAGACCCTTCAGACCCTTCAGACCCTTCAGACCCTTCAGACCCTTCAGACCCTTCAGACCCTTCAGACCCTTCAGACCCTTCAGACCCTTCAGACCCTTCAGACCCTTCAGACCCTTCAGACCCTTCAGACCCTTCAGACCCTTCAGACCCTTCAGACCCTTCAGACCCTTCAGACCCTTCAGACCCTTCAGACCCTTCAGACCCTTCATCAGACCCTTCAGACCCTTCAGACCCTTCAGACCCTTCAGACCCTTCAGACCCTTCAGACCCTTCAGACCCTTCAGACCCTTCAGACCCTTCAGACCCTTCAGACCCTTCAGACCCTTCAGACCCTTCAGACCCTTCAGACAGACCCTTCAGACCCTTCAGACCCTTCAGACCCTTCAGACCCTTCAGACCCTTCAGACCCTTCAGACCCTTCAGACCCTTCAGACCCTTCAGACCCTTCAGACCCTTCAGACCCTTCAGACCCTTCAGACCCTTCAGACCCTTCAGACCCTTCAGACCCTTCAGACCCTTCAGACCCTTCAGACCCTTCAGACCCTTCAGACCCTTCAGACCCTTCAGACCCTTCAGACCCTTCAGACCCTTCAGACCCTTCAGACCCTTCAGACCCTTCAGACCCTTCAGACCCTTCAGACCCTTCAGACCCTTCAGACCCTTCAGACCCTTCAGACCCTTCAGACCCTTCAGACCCTTCAGACCCTTCAGACCCTTCAGACCCTTCAGACCCTTCAGACCCTTCAGACCCTTCAGACCCTTCAGACCCTTCAGACCCTTCAGACCCTTCAGACCCTTCAGACCCTTCAGACCCTTCAGACCCCAGACCCTTCAGACCCTTCAGACCCTTCAGACCCTTCAGACCCTTCAGACCCTTCAGACCCTTCAGACCCTTCAGACCCTTCAGACCCTTCAGACCCTTCAGACCCTTCAGACCCTTCAGACCCTTCAGACCCTTCAGACCCTTCAGACCCTTCAGACCCTTCAGACCCTTCAGACCCTTCAGACCCTTCAGACCCTTCAGACCCTTCAGACCCTTCAGACCCTTCAGACCCTTCAGACCCTTCAGACCCTTCAGACCCTTCAGACCCTTCAGACCCTTCAGACCCTTCAGGACCCTTCAGACCCTTCAGACCCTTCAGACCCTTCAGACCCTTCAGACCCTTCAGACCCTTCAGACCCTTCAGACCCTTCAGACCCTTCAGACCCTTCAGACCCTTCAGACCCTTCAGACCCCCCCTTCAGACCCTTCAGACCCTTCAGACCCTTCAGACCCTTCAGACCCTTCAGACCCTTCAGACCCTTCAGACCCTTCAGACCCTTCAGACCCTTCAGACCCTTCAGACCCTTCAGACCCTTCAGACCCTTCAGACCCTTCAGACCCTTCAGACCCCCCTTCAGACCCTTCAGACCCTTCAGACCCTTCAGACCCTTCAGACCCTTCAGACCCTTCAGACCCTTCAGACCCTTCAGACCCTTCAGACCCTTCAGACCCTTCAGACCCTTCAGACCCTTCAGACCCTTCAGACCCTTCAGACCCTTCAGACCCTTCAGACCCTTCAGACCCTTCAGACCCTTCAGACCCTTCAGACCCTTCAGACCCTTCAGACCCTTCAGACCCTTCAGACCCTTCAGACCCTTCAGACCCTTCAGACCCTTCAGACCCTTCAGACCCTTCAGACCCTTCAGACCCTTCAGACCCTTCAGACCTTCAGACCCTTCAGACCCTTCAGACCCTTCAGACCCTTCAGACCCTTCCTTCAGACCCTTCAGACCCTTCAGACCCTTCAGACCCTTCAGACCCTTCAGACCCTTCAGACCCTTCAGACCCTTCAGACCCTTCAGACCCTTCAGACCCTTCAGACCCTTCAGACCCTTCAGACCCTTCAGACCCTTCAGACCCTTCAGACCCTTCAGACCCTTCAGACCCTTCAGACCCTTCAGACCCTTGTCTACTCACCGCCCACGGAGTTATTGGTGGCGGAGAGGGTGACAGTGCCGTTGGGCGCCTTGCGGCAGTTGGTCTCCTTGCACCAGTCGGGGAACTTGAAGTACTTGTCGAACGACGTGTCAACCCCCGGCGACGGCTTCCGCTTCGGGATCTTCCACACAAACGGGGTGTCCGTCGAATTGCTCCCGCTTCCGCTTCCGCTTCCGCTTCCGCTGGTGGAGTTCCCCCCGCTGCTCCCGCTTCCGGTCCCGCTGGTCGAGTTCCCACTGCCACTGCCACTGCCATTGCCACTTCCGGTACTGTTAGAGGTGCTGTTGCCCGTGCTGTTCGTGTTGCCTGTAACGCCCGTGTTACCCGATGTGCCCGTGCTGCCGGTGCTGTTCGTAGTGCCCCCGGAGGTGCCATTACCGCTCGCGGTGGAATTCCCCGAGGTGCTGTTAGACGCCGTGCTGCTAACGGGGGACTTGTTCGATGCAGTGACGTTCTTGGCGCTAGTGGTACCGCCTCCTGAAGTGGTTCCCCCGGTGCTTCCGGTACTTCCGCTCGCTCCGGCTCCGCTTGCCGCCTGCGTCGACTCAAGATTCGCTTTCCCGCCCAGGGGGGCGGGGGGGCTCTTCTTAGGGGGAGCGGGAGCCTGCTGGGCGGGGGACTTGCTGCTGGGCGGGCGCGGGGGAGACTTCTGCGCGGGGGACTTCTGAGCGGACGGAGAGCGCGGGTTCGGTTTCGGGGGGCTCTTGGAAGCTTGCTGCGGGGGCTTCTTGGCTGAGGCCCCGCCGGCAATCGGCTTCGGGGGATTATTGGGGGAGCTGGATCCCTTAGGCGGACTCTTGTTATTCGCCCCCTTGGGAAGGCTCTTGGTATTGCCCGCCGTAGCTGCACCCTTGGTCGGGCTCTTCGGTGGGCTCGGGCTCTTTATGCTGCTGGTAGATTGCGTTGCCTTCGTTGACTGCGTTGACTGGAATGACACGGCCTCAGCGGGTGTGACTATAGCGCGCGCGATCGCGACCTCGTGCGGCGTAGTCACAGACGAGGTCGTCGCGAGGGGCTCGTGGGGGAGCCGGAATCTACCCCCGAAATCCGAGGGTAACATGTCTTCTGGTCTGGAAGATCTGTGATGCGCGACGTCCGCGCTACCGGCGGATAATTTCACGGGCCAATGTCCAGCTTTGCGCGAGTGCTTGGAGGAATGGGCCGCGGAGGAAAGCGCGAGAAGCGCTGAGAGTAGCCCAAGCGGCAGCCATAACTGAAGTTGCTTTCGACGGGATGCCATCTCCGTTGAGGAAAGACAGGAAAGACAGTACTGTTACTGGCGTTGATTCGGCTGATGAGTCAGTGGACGCACGAGTCCCTGTAGACGGCTCCCTCGAAATTGCAACAGGCGATATTGCCTTGTCGTGAAAGGATTTTCAAGTCTCTGTCCTCCTCACTATTACCTGTTTTGGCGTTTGACTGAAAGTAAATGACCGATCGTCCTAAAGTATGATTAGTCGGGCAGATCTAGCATCTAGCGGAATGAGGCTGTTTGCCGAGGCTTTATGATGCTGTGGTGACGCATGAGACTGGCAGGTGAATGTCGACCAACGTCGCAAGGCAGGGGGGAATTGGGGAAGGGTAGGACAGGGATGAGAGGGAAAGGTGAGAGCGCGCGATGACGTTGAAGGGTACAGGAGGAGAAACAGGGGGGTGGTGGGGAAGAAAGGGGGGAAAGAGAGGGGGGCTTGGGTACAGCCAACTAATTTTTGCTCCAACGCAATTATTGGAGAGGATTGAGAAATTGCTCGCTCGAATTTTTCATTGGCGGCATTTTGACGACCCGAGTCGCGTGCACATTCATCCCCGAATGAGGTGGTCGAATTCTGCGATTGCTGTATCGGCGACACGTTGGGCCCCCTGGCGAACGCCGTCGGTCAGAAGGAAATCGCCTCGCACACCCGAGCGAGATTGGCGATGTACTGCTTGGAGTGGTCGGTCGGGGCGATCTCGCGACCATGTGCGATGCGGATTCCGCGACTCCCTGAAGCTGTGGTGAGTGAGCTTCGTCGGAACTTCCGATCACAAAATGGCCGAACGTTGGCGAAATAATACTAGTCTACACAAATCAAACCGTATACAGATTCTCATTTACATACGTGTGTGCACCCTAAACGACTCACAAAATGGTTTGACCTTAGCGAAAATATACCAGTCTACACATATGTGCGTGCGTGCGTGCACCCTAGGGCGTGTGAGTTTGATACAATTTTGTCAAATTTTCGTACCATCACCACTCTCTACCGCGGTTCTTATCGCCTGCAACCTACCAAAAATATCTTTTACCGCTCTAGAAATCCGCACTGGAGGCTTGTTCGTACCCCAACTCACACGCCCTGATGCAAGAATCGAAGGGTAAATTCTGGAGCTCGTGTCTGACACTAGTATCATACGGGAACACCCAAGGTGGACGGCCCCTAGCGCGCCGTGCCGGCCCCTTAGCGCCCCGTCGGCCCCTCGCACGCCCGCCTGGCCCCTGGTGTACCCTGCCGGCCCCTCACGCACCCGCCCGGCCCACCGCGCGCCTCGCCGGCCCTTCGCGCTCGCCGACCCTTCACGCTCGCCGGCCCCTCACGCGCCCGCCGGCCCTTCGTGCCTTGCCGGCCCCTTCGCGCCTTTCCGACCCTTAGCGCTCCGCCGGCCCTTTGCGCCCTGCCGGCTCTGCGCGCCCCAGGCTCTGCGCGCCTCGCTCCCTCCTCGGCCTTCCGTCCAGTTTTCTCGCCGAAGAGTCTTGCCGCTGTGCCGCCGTGTCGCTGAATACCTATCATGCGGTGCCGCTGTTTCGCCGTGCCGCTGTGCCGCCGTAACGCTGTCCCGCAGAGGTTGCACGATGGCGGGCGCCATACTTTGCCTGGACGCGGAGGGGAACGCGATCGAGTTCACCGCCTAGCTTGTCGATCTCCGCCGGCACCTGACAGGTCAGCGCTAGGATGGGCACTCCCTGGCTCTGCATGTTAATGGCTTGCTTCCCCGTCCCCCCGCGCCTGCTCCCCTCCCTGCTGACCCCACCACTGCTGAGGGTGAGGCCTTCTCTGCTGCTGCGCTCGCACGCACTGTCTAGGATTCTCGCGATGCTGTAGCGCAGCTCGCCATTAGTCATGCGCTTCCAATGCCTGAGCGTTCGCGCTTCACTGTTGTTGCGAACGCCAAGGATTTTCTAGATGCAGTAGTTGTGCGCTACTCCACGCCTGCCTCCGCCTCCGCTGGCCGCTTGATCCTCCCCATGCTATTCCCCGGTCTTTCTGCATTCCCCATTGTCGCTGACCTCGCCACTCACCTCCGTGCACTCGAGACTAGCTACCGCGCTGCTAGCACTGCCGCCCAGCTCCCTGCCTTCCCCCACCGTTCTGTGCTATCCTGTACCTTATTGCCATGCGTCTGTCTGACCGCTTAGCCACTACCCGCGACCACTTCCTTAGCCAGCACCCTGGTGACCTCGCACTGACCGCCTTTGTCACTGCCCTGTCTGGAATAGAGACTCGGCAGCGCACTATCGCTTAGTCGAGCGGTATTGCGGCAGTCCCTATCTTTCAGCGCTGTGCTCCCTCCTAGTGCACGTACGCTGACGTTCCCGCTGCGGTTGCTACGGCTGCTACTGCCACTGAGACCGCAGCTGCGGCCTTCCCGCAGCAGCGACAGCATCGGGGCCGTCGTGGCTCCGAGGGAGGGCGTGGTGGTGGTGGTGGCGGGGACAGTGGTTCTGACGAGGGGGTTGGGGCTGGTGTCCAGGAGCAACAGCAGCCGTAGAAGCAGCCATGGGCCCGCCTCCCGCCTGGGTGGTCAGGGGCCCCTGGAGGTGGTGGCTGTGGTAGCGGCCCTCGCAGCTCGGCGTCTACCGGCGGTTTCGGTGCTGTGAGCTGCCAGTGCCAGCTCCCGACCGGGCTCCACCGTGGCACTGTATGCCGCCGCCCACACCCGACAGCCCGCTGTTTCCGCCGCCTCGACGACCTCTTCCGTTGCCACTTCGGCCCGGCCCCGGACCTCCCCGACTGGCCTAGTTTGTTGTGCCACGGTATGCCTGTTTTTGACTTACACATGGATGATATAAGTTATGCCATGCATTCTCTGTATGCTGACGCTTTAGTATGTTCGGATCTTATTACCATGTGTTCTCTAGCTTAGGCGTAGCACCTATGTGTAGTATAGACTCCCCTGCTGCGTCAGGCGTAGGACTGTTTGCTTTGTGTAGCCTAGGCTCTACACTCCCTCCTCCTTCGCCTGCGGCTACTGCTTCGCTGGCATTCACACTTGACTCCAGTGCGCCTGCCTGATTCTTCCGCGACCTCGCCATATTGACACCGCTTGCCGTGTCTGCCGCTGTCGCACTTGCTGACCCCTCTTCTGGTCATGTCGTTGCTCGCAGCTACACTACCCTTCCCTGTCCGGCGGTTCCCTTGGGTTCCCTTACAAGCCTGCACATCCCCTCGTTCTCCAGGAACTTAGTTAGTGTTGGCTATCTTCAGGACCTCGGCGTCACCACTATGTTCCCTGGTCACGAGCGGTATGCTGTCTGTACCGAGCCTGCCTCAGGTTCCCTCCTTGCGACGTTCCCCCGCGACCCGGTGTCTGGCCAGTTTACGCTGGACACTGCATCCCCCCCGGTTGAGGCGTCCTCCCCAAGCCCTGCGTCTACCCAGGTCGCCGCTACTTGCTCGTGTCGGTCGCTCACTCACCCGTCGTTTCTGTGGCACCACCGTCTAGGTCAGCCCCCACTCTCGCGTCTGCGTCACATGTCCCAGCACGGTCTCGTCCTAGGTCTCCCTGCGTCGCTTTCTGCCCTCCCTCCCTCGCCTGTGCATCCGTGCACGCCCTACTTCGAGGGCCGGCTGTGCTGTGCTTCTCACTCCTCCTCGCTTAGCCCTGCCACCGCACCCCTCCAGACCCTGCACCTGGACGTTTGGGGCCTAACCTCCGTCCCTGGACCGCGTCGTGAGCGCTACTTTCTCGTGCTCATTGACGCGGTGTTTCCCATGGAGGGGAAGACCAACGTGCTTGACGTTCTTATCCCTTGGGTCGTAGCTGAGCGCCTCCACTACGGTCTCCCTGTGCTGTGTCTCCACTCCGACCGTGGCGGCGAGTTCGCCTCTGGTCGGCTTGGACAGTTCAGTTCTATTCAGAGGGCATCACCTAGTCGTACTCCCTACCGGACTCCCCGCAACAAAATGGGGTCGCTGGGCGACGCATCGACTTGGTCATGAAGGTGGCAGGTACCTCCATGATTCATGCCAGTGCACCCCATTCTCTGTGGCTGTTCGCTGTTCGCTACGCTGCTCACCAGCTTTACATCTGGTCGCACTCCCAGCGGCCGCAGGTTTCGCCGGCCCTTCTTTGGACCGGGTTCCCTAGTGATGCGTCTGTGTTCCACGTCTGGGGCTGCCTTGCTCACGTTCGTGCCTCTGGTACGGACAAGCTCACTGTCCGCACCCTCCCCTGTGGCTTCCTAGGTTTCCCTCTCGACTCGTCTGACTGGCACTTCTACCACTCGCCGTCTCACCGTTTCTTTCACTCCCGCGACGTCACCTTTGACGAATCCGTCTCCTTTTACCACCGCTTTCCCCACCGAGGTCTCCCGGTTCCCCCCCCCACTGTTTCTGGTCCCCACTCCCCCGCTCGCCCCTGCTCCCCTTCCTCCCCGTCCTATTCCGTCTGGTGTGTCTCACGTCACTCCCCCCACGTCGGTTGCCCACGTTGGTTGCTCTGTGTCTGACTCTGCAGCACAGCTCCCACCGCCATTCTTCTCTCGGGGGTCTCCCTCTCCGCCGTCGCAGTTGCTGCACCGCAGCAGCCGTCGCAGCCACCGCCGTCGTAGCAGCTGTAGGATTTCGTGGACGCTGGGGGTGCTGGCGCTAAGGAGGGTGCTAGTCCTAGGGTTCCTGTCGTGGCTTGTCCCGGCGGGCTCGGGGGTGGCACCGGTGATGGAGAGGGTTCTCGCTTTGGGGGTGCTGGAGTGGAGGATTCCGGAGGCAGTCGCGTTGCATCTGGCGGTCCTGGTGTCGGCGTCGAGCAGCAGCAGCAGCAGTCGCCGCCGGTGTCTGCCCTTCGCCTCCTCGGCCTTCCCTCCCCTGACCGCTCACTTGCGCTTCCCTCGCCGCCTCCTTCCCTACCTGTTCACGGCCCTGTGTTTCCTCCGCCTAACTCCTCCCCGGCTCGTTTCCCGCCTCGTTCCCCTCCAGTTACATCTCATCGGTCTCTTGACCCGACGCCTCCATCTCACGTCTGGTCTCGCAGTCCCTCTCGTGCTCGTCCTGTCTCTCTTGTTCCCCGCTCTCACCGAATGTTGCTTAATTCCCACGCGTCTCGTCCCCCCCTCCTGCCTTTGCCTCCTCTGTCGTCATTCGCTGTCACGCCTCCCCCTCTGTCTGACTACCTTCATGCTGCTCGTCCTCTTGTTCCTCGCGTCCAAGCCTCCCTCGTTACCGACCCGTCTGTTCCTGTCTCCTGTCTTGACGCTCTTGTCGTGGCTTTCGCTGAATTGGCCTCTACCCGCCGCCTTGACTACGCCACCGCTCTGGTCTC